CAGACTCCAGCTTCCTGTGGTGTATGCTTGGAAATAAACTGGGATTTTTAAGCAAAGTAATGTGCTAAATGGGCACACAGGTGTGACTTAGTACTTTCTATCAGAGCTGGTGCCATCTCATTGTTTCTTCCCTTTAATGGCACTAAGTACAATGAATAAATTACCCAAACAAGGTACATTTTATCAACGTACAATCAACTTTTCCAAGTTATCCATATATTTCATGAATGATCCACAAACTGTTTTATACTCTTTATTCAATCTCCCAGTAACCCCAGGAGACAGGTTACCCACTGTACAGACCGGTGACTGAATCAGAGAGACGGTAAAGTTCAGAGGCCATTCATCAGATTCCATGGCCCAGTTGCCATAACAGCCACATTCACAAGATCCAAAGTCTTTGATTCACTGCCCAAATAGATAGAACAAGCGGGAACCCATAAGGACTTGTGAGAGGCATCTCACTTTCCCCTCTCCCACTGTTTCCTCTTTCCTGAAAGCCCCCGTAGTCTCTTCCCTTTTCCTGCTTCCTTCTCTTCTAGGGATGCCAACCTTTGAGTGGGGGCTGGAGATTTCTTGGAATCACAACAGATCTCCCAACTACAGAGATCAGTTCCCTTTAGGACTGCCAGAGTGAGGCTGGGAAATCCCTGGATATTTGGGGTTGGAGCCCTGGGAAGGTGAGGTTTGGGGAAGGAAGCAAACTCAGCAGGGTATAATGCCATAAAGTCCACCCTCCAAAGCAGCCATTTTCTCCAGGGGAACTGATTTCAGTCATCTGAAAAACAGTTATAATTCTGGGTGATCTCCAGCCCACACCTGGAGGTTGGCAACCCTAGCCCCCCTGGAGAAAATAACTGCTTTGGAGGGTGGGGTCCATGACATTATATCCCTCTGAGGTCCCTCCCTCCTCAAACCCCACCCTTTCCAGGCTCCTAACCTCTTTCCTCCTCTTGGCAGTCCTCATATCCTCTCCCTCCCTCATTCATCTCAGCCATTCACCAACCTACCTTTTATCTGCCTACCATCTTCAGCTGTATTTATCCTTTATTTACTTCATTTATACCACACCTTTCTCCATAGTGGGAACCAACGCAACTTACATTATTTTCTCCTTCTCCTTTTTATCCACACAACAACCCTGTGAGGTAGGTTACGCTGTAAGTATGTGACTGGTTCAAAATCACCCAATGATTTTCCACAGCAAGATGATTCAAACCTAGGTCTTGCAAACTCTACTCTGAAGCTCTAACCACTACACCACACTGGTTTTCAAAGGGTGGCTGCTGTTGAATAGTAGCAGCCAGGCCTAGTTCTGTCATGCAAGTCGAGTGGTATCAAGTCAGCCAGTGGTTGCTTCCAGGCCTAGGGTTGCCAACATCCATGTGGGACCTGGAAATATCCCAGAATTACAATTGAACTCCAGAGATATGGTCCCCTGGAGAAAATGCCTGCTTTGGAGGAGGCTTGCTAACCCCCAGGTCCAGTTGGGGATTCCCTGATTTCAGGGGCTTCTCCCCACTACGGACCAGCTGGCCAGTGGGGGAACCCCGCCCCTAAACAGGGACGTTGCTGTGCAACATCCCTGATGTGATTACATCACCCGGAAGTGATGTCATCACATCAGGGACATTGTATGGGGATGCTCCGGAATTTGGGCAAACTCTGTGGTTTGATGGCGAAAAAACCAGTGTTTCGCCCAAATGCCAGAGTGCCCCCCACCCAACATCCCCGCTCACCCCCAGAACGTCCCCCAAATCCTCCCCGCCAGAGCGACAAGGAGACCTGGCAACCCTATCTGGAGGGTGGACTCTATGACATTATATTCAGCTGAGGCCTCTCCCCTTCCCAAACCCTGTCCTCAGACTCTACCCCAAGATCTTCAGGAATTTTCCACCCCGGAGCTGGCAACCCTATCCAGGCCTGGTCCCAGGGAGTTCTCTTCTCTCTCAAAGACCAAAATAGACCTGGAAAGGGCCCTAGTGCCCCCCCCCCCTTTTACTCACAGAAACTGAAGCCTGGAATACAGCCTAGCAACAGCCACCGAGGGACTCTGTTGCTTAAAGCTGCAGGTGCGCCTTTTATCATTTTCAGAATTTTTAAAACTGCCCAGATTTCACATTCTTCTGCAAACCTGGGGCCCTTTTCAGGTTTGTAGAAAGATAGGCCTTGCCCATTCACAGCTCTTGTCCTTGGGTTTAAGTATCCAAAGATATCCTGACTTTGCTATTAGAATATAAGTAATGTTTTGTAACTACTTTTAGATTTTTCAAGTTGTTACAGAAGCAAGAAAAACATATCAACAGAACATTTCCACCGTATTCTGGACTTGAGTATTTTCAACTAACCAACAACAAAAGTAAACCTAACACAAATATATCAACAATAATGTGTTTGGAACTTTCATTTGCAAGTTTGGCCTTATTAAGAAAAGGTGGGCAAAACCATCCAAACTTAAATTTATGGGGTCTTTTCAAGTGGTTAAGACACTGAACTGCAGACCAGAAGGTCGGTAGATCAGCAGTTCGAGACCTGAGTGCTGCATGATGGAGTGAGTTCCTGTCTCTGGTCCCAGCTCCTGCCAACCTAGCAGTTCAAAAGCAAGAAATTGCAAGTAGATAAATAGGTACCGCTTCGGTGGGAAGGTAACAACATTCCATGTGCCTTGGTGTCTAGTCATACCGACCATGTGACCACGGAAATGTCTTTCGACAGCGCTGGCTCTTCGGCTTGGAAACGGAGATGAGCACCACATCCCGAGTCGGATTCGACTGGCTTTCGAGCAAGGGAAACCTTTACCTTTACTTCATCATCATAATTATAATATGCTGTATTTTTTCATCTCATTGCCCTTTAAAAACTGATACATCTTTCTTCCGACAGTTACAGTTAAGCACAGTAGCCACTAATAAGCACAACACTAACTCCTCATGAGATGTGTATTATTCATTTTTAATTTAAAAGTTTAGTTATTTCTAGAAGTAATGATAGTAAACATATTGTTGACCGTGTTCATTAACTGTATACCTTGATTTCAATTGGGATTTGTTGACAGATGAATTCATGTCTAGTTAAGTCTTAAAAAGGAATGCAAAAGCTATTTTTATACATACATTTTATACATATCATGCATCTTTGGGAAACAAAAAGCTTTTCTGCTGTTGTGTCTTTCACCTTGATAGCAACCAAGGGAGATTCCTATCTGTTCACTGTT